AGCAGTTAAGCAGTAGGCTGGAGCAGCTCGGCACCTGCAGCGCAGTGTAGCAGGCCCAGTCTGGCCCACGCAGCCCCCACCAACAGTGCAGCAGGCTGATCCTGGCCTGGCCAGACAACCTGCCATGTCGCACCACAGAGGGGCTTCTTCAAGGTTAACCATTTAAACATTGTGTGTAAGCGGTTAATTTTTTTTACAGCAGCAGTTAAGCAGTAGGCTGGAGCAGCTCGGCACCTGCAGCGCAGTGTAGCAGGCCCAGTCTGGCCCACGCAGCCCCCACCAACAGTGCAGCAGGCTGATCCTGGCCTGGCCAGACAACCTGCCATGTCGCACCACAGAGGGGCTTCTTCAAGGTTAACCATTTAAACATTGTGTGTAAGCGGTTAATTTTTTTTACAGCAGTTTATATCCCTATAAAGGTATTTATACTTAAACGCATCTCTGATTAATATTGCTAAAAAGTGTCAGTAGGTGAGCATTTCATTTTCTTTTCTCCTTTTTAGAAGTGCTAATTTACTATGTGAAAGTCCCCATTGACAGTGATGGAAGTTGCAAGTATTCAGTAACTATGAAAACTAGGCCATACGTTTCCAATGTATGTAAAGCTAGATATGGCAGGAAGAGCTATTTGTCTGTCTCACCAAGACAAGGCTGGCAATCCAGCTCTTTGCGTTAGCAAAGAAAAACTTCTTTTTTTCTACTCAGGTCAGGTCACATGCCTAGTTCATGGCAGTGTCTCCTATTTCAGGAGATCTCTGTTCCATAGACTCCTAGTCTTGTGCTTAATCACAAGACTATCCTTCCTCCTTGCAGTGTTGAATCCAACATTCTTCTGTTCTTTAGAATTTTCCTAGTACAAATATTGATATTTTGTATACAGGATTCTGGAACAGCTGATGTTTTACTTCAATACAATGGGTCAGCCTCACAGAAACAGCAGCAGGGCAAAACTGGTTGTTTTTGTTGTTGTTTTGAAAAATCTGAATAATTTTTTTTTCATATACATGAAGGAGCTACAATCTGAATACATTCACCTGGATTTCAAGAACAATATAGTTAGCTCCTTTCAGAAGAATCTGTTGTGTTCTCAGTCATCTTGATTTGTTCATAATTATAAGGATTCAGCTTCAGTATTTTTTTTTGGTATTTTAATAGTTCATCTACTAAATGTTATTTTCGAGGTACGTGTTTTTCCTCAAGTTGCACTTCTTTCTATTACTACAAGTCTAATATGAATCTTCAGAATAAGGCTTGAGTTTAAAATTCAGTAGATGAAAAAAATCTCCTAAAATTACAAGATTGCTTAATTGTCAGGACACACAAAAGACCAACATTTTGAAAACACAACATGCTGCTATCGCGTCTCATGTAAAAGTCTCAAATCATTGTGGTGAACTGGCTACTTAGTACTTTGCTTGGTGTAATCAGAAATAGGCTATGTATAATAAACATTCTACTAGGAATGTAATAGTGTAGTCAATTAACCAATAAGCAAAAGCTTATAGGTTAATACTATAGACTACACTCAATTTCCCCTTCTCTCCCCTGCTAGTAAATTTTTTAGCAGGCTTGCACCAGATCTGGGACCTACTCTCACTGTAGCTCTGCATTTAAAGTGTATTAGGAGCCAGGCAAGCAGGCAGCTGGGCTCAGTTTCGGCTCACACCAGGTCCAGGAGCTCAGCTGCTGATACAGAGGCCACAGCGCAGAGTGGTGGGTGGCTTCTTGGGAGTGGGGCTGGAGAGCACTGGCTGCCATTCCCACCCCCAGAACTAGAGAAAAGTCAAGTGACCAAAAATAATTAATGAGGTTAATTGATAGTTCAATTAACCGCTATTTAACATCCCTAAACTCTGCTCCTAGCAGCTAATGGAGATTCTCTAGTGCTCAAAGAAGGCCCTGTGCTTTTGAAATAGAAAGGATGAGTTCTGTTCTTTATCATCAGAAAGCTAGATATGACTATATCGTACATCCCAATGACATGTATGGTGTATACAGCAACACTTCAGCAGGCAAGTATGGGCTCGATTTGCACCTCAGCTTGCTCCAAACTATTCTTGTAGACAAGCTACATTGCTGATTTAAAACAAAAGTTCACAGTTTTGCCATTTGGTGGCACCAAAAAAAGAAAATTAATTCCTGGAACAGATGCACTGCAGAATGCAGTATTTGGTTATCAACAGTAGATGTTATATATGTGAGAGTGTACCCTATACTACTATGCATAATACTCTTGTTAAAACTTTCTGTTTATACTCTACCTGGTTTGCCCAACTCATAAATTGGGAATACCAATTAGGTATTTTAGTCCGTGTGCTGTGGAGTGCAGGATTATTTAGTCTATGATAACATAAAACATACCATTAGTCAAAATGACAAGGAGTTCTGTGGCACCTTAGTGATTAAAAGATTTATTAGGGCATAAGCTTTCATGAGTAAAACCCACTTCATTGGATGAACACAAGTGGAAGTTACAGAAGCACAGGGGTTTATATAAGGAAGAAGACGCTTATGTTAATTGAACTAATCAAGTCAGAGTGGAAGTGGGTCATTCACAGCATTTGATGTGGGGAGAGGAAAAATTGCCTTTGTAATGCGTTAGCCAGGTGAAATCCTTATTCAGTCCTAAATTGATAGTGTTGACTTTGCAAATGAATTCCTGTTTATCTGCCTATCTGCCTCTCTTTGTAATTGGGTTTTGAAGTTCTTTTGTTATTCTTAAAGTTACCATGTGATATCATGCTGGGTCTTTGTTTCCAAGTGTAAGACAAGAGTATTTTGGTCTGTAACGGCAGTGGGAATGGGATGGATTGTGAACCACTCCCCAGTGCAAATTTCCTCCATGCTATCCTTTGGATATTCTGTAGACGTCACTTTGAGGGGGAGAGTGTAGCTTTGTTTTCAAGCCCATTCACTTGCTGAGTGTCAAGCGGAGTACCAATTCTAATTTTCTCTGCCTAGTTCCAAGGAAGTAAACCTAGATACTATTGGCTGCAGCTGATAGATGGCAGTAAATTCTATTAACTATCACGACCAGTTCAGTCCTCTAGACTGTAAAACGATTCCAGGATTCCTCAGTGTTCATATGGGCTGATCGCAGGGAAGGTGCTTAATAGTAATTTGAATTATATTTTTCACATGCTCAGTAAAGCTGGTAAAACAAGCCCTCTTGGAATGCCAAGCTTTGCTGCTTCAGAGACTGTAGCACTGTGTAACAGCTTCCTAGGCTTGTGGGCAGAAATTGAGCACTCTGGCTATGTCTACCCTGCCCCCTCTTGTGCAAAAAATACTCAAATGAGATGAAGCGTGGAATATGGCCGTGCCTCATTTGCATAATTGAGGCTCCGTTTTTGTGCAGAAACATCTTTTTGCGCAAGAGCTGTTCTTCCTCTTTTTTTCAGGAAGAACGGGTCTTGCGCAAAAGCCTCTTGTGCAGAAACAGAACCTAATTATTTATGCAAATGAGGCGTGGCAATATTCCACACTTCACCGCATTTGCATATTTTTTGTGCGAGAGGGAGCAGTGTAGACATAGCCCCCTTGTTTAATTTGAAGATCGTTTCATGTGAAACGCAAGAGAACAATGTTGTAACTTAACGGTACCAAGACACTGCTATCTGCCTTCGCGGACCTCGACTTGCATATAATTTTGTCTACCTTTGGGTTTTCTGTAGTTGAACAAAGCCTCTAGATCCACATACAAAGGCTCCCTAATTTGCTAATGCCAAAAGCAGTGGAGTAGCCTGGGTTATACAACTTCTCCACATGATTATCTAAGAATTGAAAATCAGCTTAAACTGGGACTTTTTCACTAGATTGCCAGCAGCCAAATTGTTAAAGGGCTAGATGCATTTATAAGCATGCTTATGTTTATAATCTAACCCAGTGGTTTTCAAACTATGAGTTGCAACTCATAGTACTGGGTCATGGAATATGGGTGATCAGGTGACCAGTGGGGATGTTAAGGCAGGATACCTGCGTGTCCTGGCCCTGGAAACTCTGCTGCACCCCAAAAGTGGCCGGCCACAGGCCTGGCTTCTAGGACTCTGCGCACTGCCTCTGCCCCAAACACTAGCTCCACACTCCCATTGGCTGGGAACCTGACGTTGGCTGCTTATGGGGCGCAGCATGGTGCCAGGAGAGGCAGGAAGCCTGCCTTAGCCACCCTGCCCGAGCCCCTCCTGTCACAGCACTGACACCTCCCGAGCCAGAGCCTCCTCCAACACCCAAAGCTCTTATCCTCAGCCCCACCCCAGAGCCCACACTCTAGTTCAGGCCTGGGCAAAACACCCTCCATGGGCCACTTCTGGCCCTCCAAGCCACCAAATCCAGCACGCAGCAGGGAGCCCCCAGGCAGACTCCTCTGCTTGTCCCACCCCAACACGCTGCTCAGGAAAGCGGCTGCGGGGCCATTTGGTTTTCACAAACTATGATCAGGAATGGGGAGGGGAGGAAATGGTGCTGTTCCTGCCCCCAGCACAATCCCATTAGTCGGTTTCTGGCCAATGGGAGTTGCCTGTTTCAAGACCAGGCAGCATGCGAAGCACCAATTCCCCCCTCCCTTCAGGCTCTTATTCACAGAGCACATGGCCCTGGAACCCGGGCAGGGCAGGCTCCTGCCTGAGAGGAGCTGGGCTGCTGCTCTGGAGTCTCAATATTAAGTCCCCTGACCAGAACCTGCTTCTAGCACACCAACCCCTCTCTCCCCCCAGCCCTCTACCCCTATACTCCACATAACCCAAACCCCCTGTCCCCCTCCTGAGCCCGTGCCCCCTCCCAGACCCTGTACTGCAATCCCCTGCCCTAGGTCACAACCCAAACCCCTGCACGCCAATCGCATGCCCCAGATCACAACTGCCTCCTTCAACCAAACTCACTCCCAGATCTCACAGGCCCTCCTGCATGCCAATTCCTTGCCCCAACCTCCATCCCAGACCCTGCACCAACTCCACTAATATCATGAAGAGTGCAACTCTCGACCACTTTCTAAAACCTTGGCATGGCTCCCCATCAAAAATTATCCTCCCACCCCCTCCTCCCGCTCTAGTTACATTATGTTAGATCATGGACATCAACAACTTTCTTCAACTGGGTCATGAAAAAAAAAGTTTGAAACCACTGATTTAACCTACCTAATACACTTCAGTGTGTATCTTACAAAAACACAGGCATACCTTTGGAAGGCATAGGCACATCCAGGATTTGCAGCTGGATAGGCAAGCTGGCAATACTGAAAACTGGGCTTTTGCTCTTCAGATCACTTGTATCTTATGACAAACGCCCACATACAAATGGACACAGAATTTCCCTGTAATGAACTGAGACCCCTGAGCAATTAGTCTTCAATATGTTCTCTTCTTTTTCTGCAGAGGATAAGTACAGCAAGTGGAGATGGCAGGCATTACTGCTACCCACATTTCACATGTGCAGTGGACACAGAAAACATCCGCAGAGTGTTCAACGATTGTCGAGACATCATTCAGAGAATGCATCTTCGCCAGTATGAACTCTTGTGATTGGGATCACCATGGAGCCTGTGGTTTTAAATACTTAGCTCCTTACTCTCTTGCTCTCTCTCTATATATATACTATGCCACACAGGGTGGAAGAAAATACTACAGAAATGTCAGTCTTTTCAGTTTGTTTACCTTAATTATTAGCCTTTGAGCTGGTTTGCAGCAAGTTTGGGTTTCTTTTCCGCCATGCTTTTTGGGACTATTTGTGTGCTTTATTTTGATATGCCACTTCTTTGTCATTCCACTAAGCCTCTGGCTACCTCTGTTGCTTTAGAGGTGTATTTTGTTTGTTTTGGGGGAGGGAGGGGTTGTTTTTGCTAATTGAACATAACCTGCTAAATTTTTTCCAGCAGGCTGATTGTTAGTTCAAACTGGTATGTCAGCTGGATGACACTAAAGTCATACCTATCCTTGTGTGGGTCCCTTTTTTAACATGATATTAAGAGTACTTGATGGGTGAAAAAGGAATAATGCACTTTGTATCAGGTTATTAAATACTGTTGAGGAAGTATACACACAATGTAGCAGCACCACAATATTTATTACTCTGTCACAGTTTTTAGCATTATTGAGTTGCAGGTCAACTGATAAAGTGACCTCCTCATTTAAGCCGTTTCTGGCACAGGAAGTAGAGTAGATAATGAGAGGCATGGTGATAAGCAATTTTTCTGGGGTTTTGGGGCTACGTGCCTCTACACACCTCAGGCATTTGAATTACAGCTACTTTTTCAGCCTACTGCAGCTAGGCAGAAAATTTACCACCCTCACTTATGTTATTTGTGCTGTCCACAAATGATCCATTTAATTTAGATCATTCTTGGACAACAGTCTTCTCCCTATATATATTTTTGTTTTACTGCTGGTTTATTATATTGTACAGACTGTAAAATGTAATATTATTTTGTACAACTTTATTGAAGAAAAATACTTGTAGAAGATCTTTGTGCCTTGATTATGGCTGTACCTGTAAAATGAGCTAAGATGTAAGTATGTTTTTGATTGCGCTGTACAGCTTGATGTCAACCTTACCTGCAGCAGTGACTGGAGGCAAGAACTTTATCTGTAGAAATTAGGGATTTTTTTCTGGTTTATATAAAAACAATGCTCTTTAGTATAAAAAAATATAAATTATGCAAATTAACCACTTACCTTTTCAAGTAAGGTATTACAGTCACCGGATGTTGCAGCAACATGCCTTTCTCTTTTGAAATCTCAGCTTTAAAACATTGGAATTCATTCAAGTGTCCAAATTGCAACCTGGTGTTGTTTTAATGGGAATCAAGGTTTTGGGTTTTTTTCCCTTTAACTTTAGATAATATGTTTAGTAATTCTTTGGTCATTCATAGTAGGTCACAATTGCACAGGTCGATTGTGAATGTGTAAAGCACCATTATATAGAGCTTGTCAATCTTTGTACCAACAGCAGCTTTCATTGTGCAAGTAAATAGCAGGGGGGGAGGGAGGGAGGAGGAGATATAAACCCTTGTGTCTGGCCTAAGAGAATTACAAGATGACATTTTTATTTCTCTTTTAATAAAGAGACATTAGAAATTTGTTTTATTTTAAATATTGTAGAATCAAACTGTGTGAATATTTCTCAAACTTGAATAATTTATGCAATGACATTCTCAAAACAAGGTGTGGTACAGTACATTATATAAAAAGCAAGAATTGCTGTAGCAATAAGGCATGTCCTTTTTAGTAACTATAACTCTGCTTTATATTTTATACATAGGTGTTTTATGTCTGTGAGTATATACTTTTCCTGTGTCCAAGATAACCTGTACAAATGTCTAAAATTACAGTTGCAATAACAGAAACCTAGAGAAGTGTTAGCCTACATTACTTCATAGATTGTTTAATCACTCCTTGGACTATCTCCATCCTTTCTTTTAAATTTTAGGGACAAATTAAGTTTTAAATTGTTTTCAGGAACACGCTATGAATCAGATTTTTATAATACGGGCATTTATCAGTAACACAAACCCAGGCCTCTTTTACTTAAATTAGAGAAATTTAGTAGTTTTTTAAATAGGATAATTTTAGAGAGCACAGTATCTTTATAAGATTATCCTTCCCAGTGAAATTGCTACTAGAATGTAGTCTTGATATTTCTACTTTTGCAATTCAGTTATGTATTTCCTAGACAGTGAAAGGCAGGGGTTAGCTAATTATAGATATAAGTCCCCAAATCTACCACTGCCATATATGCACAGTCTCATACTTCCCCTTCCAATTTTATTTTTAGAAACAAGCAAACTTTCTTTTGAAGTGAGAGGCTGCATCTAAACTGGCAAGATTTTGTGCAAAAGTGGCTGCTTTTGCTCAAAACTGCTGCCTGTCTACACTGGCTGCTTGAATTTGCACTGCTGTTCTAATGTAAGAATTCAGTGCTTCTTGTGCAAATACTTTGATGCTCCCGCTCAGGGATAAGCCCTCTTGTGCAAGAGGGCCAGTATAGACAGGCACCTTAATTTCTTGCACAAGAACGCCTGATGGCTAAAATGGCCATCGGAGCTTTCTTGCGCAAAAGCGCGTCTATACTGGGCATGGATGCTTTTGCGCAAAAGGTGGCTTTTGCACAAATGTATCCATGCCAGTCCGGACGCTATTTTGCGCAAATACTTTTAACGGAAAAGCTTTTCCGTTAAAAGTATTTGCGCTAAATCATGCCAGTCTAGACGCAGCCAGAATGAATAATAAAGGCAAAATAAACCAACCCTAGAGGCTAAAAAACCCAGCCTCTGCAGGAACATTAAAAGAAAAACTGGTTCCTGCTGTGGAATTTCCTTATGGTTCTTCTTGTAATAGCATTCGTCTCTTCCTGTCCACACAAAGCAGTAGGGATTATGGCTTCTAGATTTTTGCAATCTACGCCAGCTCTGAGGATTGCTGTGGCTCCAATGGAGCTCTGCTGCTACAGCTTTCCCCGAAGAAGCAATCCCCAAACTCCATTAAAGTACACATTACAGTTTGAAGCTGGCTCTGCATTAATATTATCATCAAGTTTTGTTAACATTCTTTTGAAATTTCTACAGGGGCATAATGTGCACCTGGATCCCCAAGGTGGCTCCAGCATGAAGAAACGGGAACTTGTTACTGCAACAGTATCTGACCTCCTTTGCTGGGGAAAACCTCTCCACACGGACCTATACGGCCCTGTTTAAGATTACCATAGCACATCTTATGTAAAAAGAGCTTGAGAGGTTCCACCCCAAATTTTTAGAAGGTCTTAAGTGTTTTGGCATAGATCCTGGAGGGGTGGAAAGACAGTTTGACAGACAGGGGATTTATCCCAAACAAGAGTTTTTTTGTGTGTGACAGCTTAGAAATAATGCTAAGGAAATCCACTGATGTATATCCCCTGCTGCCATTGAGAAACAGAAGTATCATGCTAGAAGGGTATGTAGCAATAAAACAGAAGGATGGTTCCAGCTTGGACGACTATACCTCCTCCCGGGTAGGACACACTAGTGCAGGCAAGTGCTGAGGCTGTAGGATTTACATAATGTACAGTTACAAACATTTAGTATACATATTTGATACAAAAATTATAGCAAGGAAATGGACTCATTTGATTGTAGAATACTGTATTTTTGTACAGCATGAAAACAGTTCATTTCAGTTAATTATTTATCCTGTAGTAGTCATATCAACTGTGTAGGATTTCTATGGTATGTGTAAATGCGACCTGCCTTTGGATTAACAATCCACTTAGGTCATTTGCTGGCATGAATATAGTCTGATGTTTGACTGTTCTCAGCTTTGGTATTTCAGTAACTGAATGCAGATGTCTGGCTCTTCATACTGCTTTATGCTTCCTGATTAAGTACTGAGCAAAATAAAAAGGTGGGTTGAGTACAAGATGAGCTAGTATCAGTACCACAAGTAGAGGCCCTGCTATACAGTATATAGTAAAAACTGTGCTCTCAAGAGGAAGGAAACATTTGTAGAGGGAGAAGTTGATTGGTGTTATGCTGCCCTGGAGAGGAGGGAAAAAAAAGACCATCAATACTGCTGCTAAGAGGTTGGGTATAGATTTAGTGATTCTGCATCAAAAAGAGCTGAGTTCTATATTGGGTTGCAGAACCTGGACTAATGTAGCACCAAGGCCTCTGCTATGCAGTCAGTCCATACCCTAGAGAACTAGAGACTAAACATGCTGCAGAGGTAACGTGAATGGTTTGATAGCAGCCACTTTTGGAAAAGAGAGGCAAAAGCACTTGACTGGCTAGGTAGCAGCCGGTAAAAGCAGGGTTACTTAGCAAAAGAAACATGCCACCAGTTAAATAAAATACAGAGTGAGGAGAGACTTGGACTTGTCTATGGACTAAGGAGTGTAAACCAAAGAGCAATGAGATTTGAGGTTCTTGGCCCCATGCCACAAGATGCTGAAAGAAAACAAACCAAGTTGTAGATCTTTCTATTTAAAAACAGAACTTTTCAGAAATGGACTATTACAGAGACTAGTTGTTTTTTCTAAGTGGTACATGATGAAGATACTGTACATTGGAACTGATGGACTTTACCCAATATTCTACATGAAATTGGAAAATGTGAATTAAAACTAATCAGGCAGATTATCACAAGATACACAAGAACATTGCCTCTCAAGTGGTTAATGGGTGAGTCTAAAAGGCAAGAAAGCCATGTAGAAATCTGAGATAGATATGGTCTTATTTTCATAGTGGATAAATCAGCCAAACAAAACTAGCCTTTCTACTGTTCAGTGCATGGTACTGATGTTTGTTTTTTTGTTTTTTTGGGTTTTTTTTTACAAGTCAATATAGTTTACCCTGCACCCTCTTTATAAGAAACTCTGTGATACATGCTTTTTACAAATATACAAAATAGATCTTTAACAGCACTTCTTTGTATCACACAACCTGTGTGGCTCTCATGAGGTGCTTTATAAAGTGGATGCAGTGTATTTAAAGTAAATGTTGGGTTTTGAGGGAGGGTGGGTATTCTGCCTTTTAAAAAAGACAGGTAGCAGCAGTTTAATAAATAGCTGATTGCCATGTTGATTTATATTTATGAAAGTTACCTGACAAAAATAAAAATCTTTAAATTTACCATGATGAAACTAGGGTTGTTTCTGTTCCTCCAACTAAATGATGGGACACTGATTTCTGGAATCTTCCCATTATGCAACACTTCGCATGCACTGTGGGTATGGCCACTCAGAATCAAACGAGGATGAAACCACCATAACAGCTATATTTAAAACAGTACAAAATGACAAACATGAAAGTGTTAATTGGAAGTTATGTTTTATGTCAAAGTTTAATACATAGTGTTGCTTCCAACAAGCGCGTCCATATTTTTGCTTGGGTAACTATTTTTGCAGAGTATTTTGTGTAATTTTCATGGTCTTCGACTACTATAATATGTTATTAAAATCACCCCATTTGACTTTTACCTATACTAGGTAAATTCCTTAGGAATTTGAACACTGCTTAATATCTAGCTCCATAAGTAGAAAACCTTGGTTTTCAATGTGAAGTAGCACTGATCTGGAGAGGATCAGCCCTCAAACTTGAGCACATATATTTCTGCTGTATGAAAAATCTCTGTTGTCCAATTCATTTATTGGGAATGTTCTATTTATAAATGTTATCAGTGTGCTGGACAATAGCACTGACTTTGTTAGTCCTACTGACACTGGATTACCCAGATACCAATCATTTTTAAAATGGGGGGGCACGTCATAAATTTTGGAAGGGGCAGGGTCTCAGGCAGAAGGGGCAGGGCTAGGAGATTTGTCATGCTCTCCCCCACATACCCTGGTTGGCCCTACAGGTAGAGGAGCACATGATATCCCACCCCCGAGAGAGAATCACCAACTATTGCTCATGGTTCCCTCTAGGCACCACAATGAGAGGAGACCTCGTGCTCCCCCCATCCCAATCCAAGGACTGGGGGCAAGGAGAGCATTCAACGTCTCTCACCTCTGCCCCCACCCTGCCCAAGGTGCACAGCAGCTAGAGAGAAACTCCAGCTGTTTTAAAACCACCGTCATGTGTCTCTAGCTGCCACATGCCCTTGGCGGGTCTGGGTGTAGAAGACTGCATGCTCCCTGGTCCCCAGGTCTCAATTGGCCTGGGGGTGGAGAATGGCAGGGCAGCTACCGGCCAGATCCAGCCTACAGAGGCCCCTTTGCCCATCCTGCCATATACTCTAAAACTTTACATATAGTACAAAATGCTACACTATGGGTAAATGCTGCAGACTGAGCATCTCGGGACTTATGCACACATATGGAACCAAACAAAGTCCAGCAGATCTATCAGTAGTTTCCCACAGGCCTCACTTAACCAGGAGGAGCTGTGTATTCAGCTTGTCCCGACTACAATTTGCTTTTTCCCATTATTATACACACAGTTTATGAGTTCAGGAAGAGCTGGTAAAGGTACTATGACTTCAATAAAGTTGTGAAATTACCAAACCTTTTTTGAAGCCTCTCTAGAAAGTACATCATACTTTTCTTTAAATGGGATGTTCTTTTCCTCTGGAAGAGCAGAATCTTCTCCTCTACATTCAGCATCACTTCTTCTGTAGAGAGGATAATGCTAACAGAGATTCAAAGCAAGAGTCAGTTGTTAGTTAACACAGCCTTTGTAAAATGTTGATAAATATGCTGAAATGGAGAAATCCTGCCCATCTAATCTCCAACACACCTGTAAAAGGATTGGTTCTGAAGCTGGAAGTTGTTCCACATCATGGCACCTTTTGTTGGAGCTATTCTGTTCCTGCTAATAAAAGTCAAGCAAGACAAATAATCTTCTTGTCTGTGCAGCACCTGTTCTGTATTCATTACTTGCTTGGAGGCCAGGGACAGAAATGCTGAAGTTAAAGACCATGCAATATATTTTCCTCAAAAACTAGTATAAGGGTTATTACAAAATACTTAGTGTCTATTAGAGAAAGTAAATTGTATGACGCCTTAGAGTAAAATCAGAGGATGGAAATTAAGAGATACAGGTAAGGAGGAAAAGTTGTATGATGAGATAATTTGAAGAAAGCTGGTGCTGTGTAGGAAGTTTATTCCATATGGCAGATGATTCAGAGCACCTCTCACAGTGGTGAGAAAGTAGAAGGATTTAAAAAAAAGGGGAGAGAGAGAGAGAGAGAGAGAGAGAAAATGGAAATATATGAACTAAGGCAAGTTCATGAAATGTTTTAAAAATCAAAACTGCCAAGTTAGAACTGCAGTGTAATGAACAAGGAATTAGTGAAATTTTAAGGATGCCATGGATGCAACTGCACTCTGTCTGTTTATATCAGAAGGTGGCAACACCACTTTACAGAACGTACTGAACCACAGAAAAGTGGAATGGCTCTAGAGAAGGCAGGAAGTCTCAAGGATATGAAAACGTGCTTGAAGATTTCAGTAGTGCTGGAAATCAAATTAGTGTATTCATCAGAGGCAGCGCTGGACAGATAATGGCAACATGAAAGTCTGCAGATTCAGGAGACATAGGATAAAAATAAAATCATTGTCAGGAATAAAGGATTTCATTAAGAAAGGAAAGAGGAAATTGGGTGATTTGAAACTCTTTTCACTTGAGAAATTTTATTGAGGCAGCTGAAGGAAATGAAGGTGAATTCACAACTAAATTTAGTCAAGACTAGGAGGAGTGTTTAAAAAAAAATACATTTGTAAAGCAGCATGATAGCTCAGGTTAGGAGATGACATGGAGAAGGTAGATAGAAAAGGGCCCTGACCATATATAAAAAACACGGGCTGTGTCTACATTGGTGCGATCTTGCGCAAAAGCAACCGCTTTTGCGCCAAAACTTGCTGCATGTCTACACTGGCTGCGAGTTCTTGCGCAAGAACACTGACGTTCTAATGTATGAAATCAGTGCTTCTTGCACAAGAACTATGATGCTCCCGCTCAGGAATAACCCTCTTGCGCAACTGTTCTTGCACAAGAGGCCAGTGTAGACAGGCAACATGAATTTCTTATGCAAGAAAGCCCTGTGGTTAAAATGGCCATCGGAGCTTTCTTGTGCAAGAGAGCATCTACACTGGCAAGGATGCTCTTGCGCAAAGGCACATGCCAGTGTAGACGCTCTCTTCTGGAAGAGTTTTTGCAGAAGAACTGTTCCTCAAAAGAGTTCTTGCGCAAAATCATGCCAGTGTAGACATAGCCTAGGGCTACATCTACATTGTGCTCTTTTGCGCAAGAACATATGCAAATGAGGCAGTGATGAATATTGCTATGCCTCATTTGCATACTTAATGAGCCACCATTTTGCTCAAGAAGGAGCAGTCTGTACCACTGCTACTTGCGCTAAAACCCCCTCTTGCGCAAAAGCGATTCTGCCGCTTTCAGGCAGAACGGCTCTTGTGCAAGAGGGGGTTTTTCCACAAGAAGGAGCACTGTAGACTGCTCCTTCTTGCGCAAAAATGGCGGCTCATTAAGTATGCATGAGGCAGAGATATTAATTGTCGCGCCTCGCTTACCCATGTTCTTGAGCAAGAGAGTGCAATGCAGACATAGCCTAGGGCTGTCAATCACGAGTGTACTGCATTAATTAACTCAAAACTAATGAATACCAATTGAAATTAATTTTGGATTTTTTCCTACATTTTCAAATTGATTCCAGTTACAACACAGAATATAAAGTATACAGTGCTCACTCTATTTTTATAAATATTTGAACCATAAAAAAACAAAATTGCACTATGGTACCTGTAGAAGGTGAATTGAAAAGTGCTCTCTCTCATGAAAACTTATCTTACAAATAGATTTGTGTTACATGAATGCACTCAAAGAAAACAATATAAAACTTCAGTGCCTATTAGTCCACTCAGGCCAACTTCTTGCTCAGCCAATGGCTAAAACAAACAAGTCTATTTACATTTACGTGAGATAATGTTGCCTCCTTATTTACAATGCCATCTGACAGTGAGCACAGACATTTGTATAGCCCCTTTGTAGCTGGCATTGTGAAGTATTTACTGCCAGATATCCTAAACATTCATATGTCCATTCATGCTCTGGACACCATGCCAGAGGACATGCTTCCATGATAATTACGCTTTTTAAAAAACAATGCATTAATTAAATTTGTGACTGAACTCCTTGGGCAAGAATTGTATGTCGCCTGTTCCATTTTACTTGCATGTTGCCCTATGTTTAATGTTATACAAGTCTTGATGACTCAGAATGAACATATGTTAAGTACACTTTCACAGCACATTTGACAAAACTCAAAGAAGGTAGAAATCTCACAGAGTACAAGTTGAAACTCTAGTCAAACTCTCTGATCCTGAAACATCCATCACCCGGAATAGTTTTAGTTAACCTGATGTCCATTTTTCCAAGTTTCCCGCTGTCCCATAAAGTTTGTTTACAGCCACCAGCCCTAGTTCTCGGTGTTCTGTGCTGTTATTTAGCTCTAATTTACCCCTAAATGTCTTCTACAGCCCAATAATCAGTGGAAATGTTAGTAATGCTGCTAGACAGTATTGACCTCCCATGATCCCGAAAATGTTCTCGTTCGGAACCAGTCAGGTTCCAAGGGTGCCAGATTAGAGAGGTTCAACCTGTAAAATGTAATTTCCACTCAGTTTAGAATTCTGACGTGCCATCCAAAATCTGCTAGGGACAAGATTTCAGAAGTCTTAAAAGAGCAACACTCTGATGCTGCAGAAACTGAACCACCAAAAAAGAAATTCAACCTTCTGATGGAGGCATCTGGCTCAAATGGTGAAAACAAACGTGTGTTGGTCTGCTCTGCTCTGGATCATTATCAAGAACAACCTGTCATCAGCATAGACACACATACCCTGGAATAGTGGTTGAAGCATGAAGGGAAACATGAATCTTTAGCACATAAATATCTTGTGATGCTGGCTACAATAGTGCCGTGCAAATGCCTGTGCTCATGCTCAGGTGACACTAATAAAAAAGCAGGAAGTATTAATTCCTGTAAATTGTAACCAAATTTGAGTAAATTGGATGAACAACAGATAGGACTGAGTGAGTTTGTAGTAGCTAAAGTTTTACATTGTTCTATTTTTGAATGCAGAGATTTTGTACATAATTCTACACATTTACAAATTTGTAAGTGAGCACTGTGTGCTTTGCACAGTATGTTGTAATTGAAATCAATATATTTAAATTTTTGGATTTTTTTTACATTTTCAAAGTAAATAGTATTCTATTACTGTTTAACAGTGAGATTGATCATGATTAATTTTTAATTGCTTGACAGCCCTAGAAAACACTTATATAGCACAAAGATTCCAAAGTACTTTACAAATGAGAGCAAACATTAATAATTTTGGAAATGGAAATGAAATAATTTCATGTGACAAAGTGAGGAACAAAATGCAAGTCTCCAGATTGTTTGCCTTCTTTACAAGAGCAGAGACGGTGTAAATGATATTGGCTGTGGCAAAGAAGAGGGTTATGACTTTGCTGACAGAGACTCTGGCAAGATAACAGACCGGACAAGATTATAGGAGGCAATAACTTGATGTTAGCAGAAAGATAGAGACAGTGGTAGTCAGCAACATGCACACTGAAATCCACAGTGATTATGGAGATAAGAAAAATCAATGAAACAAGGCGAGAGAATGAAGAGAGGAAGGAGGCTTTTGCTGACAAACCAGAAACTAGAGCGGGAGATTTTTTCAAAAGAAAAGATTCTGACTTCCAGCCTGAGCATAACTAACGCCAACTCTGCAGTTACAGTGAACAGATCACTTGAAGTAAACTCTTACCTGTTGGGAGCAATTCAGTTTATGAGAAAGCTTCATGAGTTTTGCCTCTGCTCTGCTGCAGACAGTGCACCCATCACCTTCCAGAGAAACACTGTTCACCATGACAAAACTGAGGGAGAAGGGAGTGGGGAAAAAGAACACTTGTTAGATCTCCAGCCACTAGTGGTGAGAGGAAACCCTTCTTAAAAAAAAATACAAATATGTTCATAAGTCAGATACAAAGCTCAAAGTGAATTCAATGACGACTGTGCATGGGCCATACGACATCTCTCAAATACTGACACTGCCTCCTACCACAATCACCTGTTTTATTGTTAGACACTAGTTGGTTGGGTTACACAGCAAAGATTAGATGCTGTGACTAATCTTATATCTTCACAATTTGTGGGGTATTGTTTAAAACTGTTACAAATGTTTAAAATTGTATCCTTTTTCAGTGCAGAAATCCACAACGTTGAAATCTGAAGGTAAGAAACTTCATTGGCAATTGTATCTCAAACACCTCATGAGCAATGCTAAAGCAAAGCTAAACTGCATTTGGCAGCCTCTGCTCAAGGAACGCCACAAATGAACCTGGATCTTGTCTACAGGTTGACAGCACACTGTGCCAACAGAGTGTGATTTGTAAAGCACTATAATATGTTATACCCCAATCCCCCTGCTGGCATGCTTTAAAAAAAAATCTAGTTCACATTCTATATGAATTAGGTGCTCTTTACAGCATGCAAGGAGCATATACACAGGGCAGTTAAAGCACATCCTTCTGGCATGGTGTAAAAAAGCCCTCAGTCTGATTTCTCACCCTCGCCCCCTCCCTCCCAGATAACTCTCTCCCACTTAACCATGGGGTCTATCAAAGCAGCATGGGGAAGCTTTTACCTAACTCTACATTTGTTGTCGCTTTTCACTCCTTGCCAGAGGAGGCTGTGAAGGCTAGGACTATAACAGAGTTTAAAGAGAAGCTAGATAATTTCATGGAAGTTAGGTCCATAAAAGGCTATTAGCCAGGGGACAGAAAG